CCCTTCCCCTAGGCATCCTAACATGAGCTCAACCTCACCCAATTTGAGCTTTTGCATTGGTTTAAAATTTTAATGCGATATTTGCCTTAGGCATCCTAACCTGAATTCAACCCCACCCAACCTGAGTTTTTGCATTGATTGGGCCTAAGTTAATAAGCCCTGGATTAGGCTTAGGATACAAAACTTGGTCCTAACCTAAATTCAATTTTGGGCTTGGGTAGCTTGAGCATGACCTCACACAACCCAAGCCCACCCAAACAAATACACACATATTGTGCATTTTATTGTATAAAAAAAACTTCTTTTTCTAGTTATATGTATCTGAGCATTTACTAATGAAGTTTGCAAATATTTTCAATCCATTCTCGTAAATGAGTTATAAAGCCCAATAAAAGATGGATGTACAAAATATATTAAAAAAAAGTTTCTTTCAAACCTGATGATGCCACCCAGGTCCGACCAAACCCAAGATTGGCCCAAATTGTACTAGGTTAAGCTCGAATTGGGCATGTATCGGTAAACTTGGGCATGACCTCAGGTTGGGCCAGACCGAGGTTTGAATTTTTGGATTGGGCCTGGGTAGAACCTTAACTCAACCCAATCCACTTTAGTTGCACCACTAGCCTGTCATGATCCTTTTGGTGAAGGGTTCAACATGACCTACTATGTTGAATATAGTATTTCTTTATTTTTTTTTTTTGTATACTAGTAAGTGTATGTGTGTTGCACGTGACAATTTCAAATAACAAAAATAATTTTAATATCCTTATTAAAACCATTAAAAATATAAGTAATTAAAGAATGGTGTGCCGATGGATTTAGATTTTGAATTTTATTTTCATTGTTAATAAAAGTACTTTCTATTTATCATATCAATTTTTTTATATGATAAACGCATATTATTAGAGATGTGCACAAATTTGTTGACAAGTTTTTGTATTTTCTATAACTTTTTATTTTTATCTACTTTTTGAATTTTTATTATATATAATTATGACATCAATGTGTTGACCTATTTGATTTGAAAGAGAAAACAATCTCATTTTTTGTAAAATTGACAAATTTATAATATTTGAGATATGTAAAATTTTTCTATAAATTTTCTATATTATTTTTGTAATTCTATGATGCTATCTATTTTATTTTTTTCATCATTTAATTATGAAATCGTTGGTTAACCCATTTTACCCAAATCATTGGACTGATAGGGTGCAAGTTGCATAACCCAATGCATTAGGCCTATGGCTCAAGCCCTAAGTCAAGCTTGATCAGTCCAATTTGAGCCCAACTTGCACTGAAATTTCATGCACTCGGGTTGGGCGTAGGCTTGGATAGGTCAATCACCCTCAATCATCATACTAAAATTTGGCATAAATGTATGTGTATATGTTATACATGTATACAAATATGTGTCTATGTAGACATGTATGTATCTACCTAAGGCTAGGCTTGGGTGCAGCTTGAAAAATAGAAGAGTCCAAACTATTGGGCCTAGGCTTAGGTCCAGCCTAAGGACCAAAAGTCCAAGCCACTTCATCTAAAATTGCAAGTTGGGTTGATCTAAGCTCAGATTGAGCCCACCCAATTTGCATCCGCTTGGATCACTAATCACAAATTAGATGGAAAATAACTTTCTTTTTGAGTTAGGCTAAATTTGTATTCTATTTCCATCATCAATAAAATAACTCTTATTTATCACTTATTTCTGTTTAATATGATAAATTTTTTAATATAGAGATGTGCCCAAATATTTTCTATGATTTTTTTTGTATTTTTAAATAATTTTTGTCTCTATCTTCTTTTAAAATTTTAATTATTTAATTGTGACAATATGGATTGACTAATTTGACCTAAAAGGTTGAACCATTGACCCACTGCTTATATAGGAAAATGGTTTTGTTTTTGGGTCAGTTTTAAATTTTGTATTTCATTTCTATGATTAATGAAAAACTTCTTATTTATCACATATATTTTTGTATAACATGATATATAATTTTAGATATGTTCCTAAATTTTTGTAACTTTATATTTTTATTTATTTTTAAACCTTTATTATTTAACTATGAGATCACTGGTTGACCCATTTGACCTAGATAATTGAACCATGTACACGCCACACAAACAAAAGGATAGTCTAGTTTTCATGTTGGGTTTGATACATTGGTTTTTTATTGTTAAAATTATTGGGTGTAGATTTAATTAGTAAGCTTTATTGGTGAGAAACAAAAAAAAAAATTCAAATAAAGGATCTAAGGAGGGAGAATGAGAGTAAACACCTTAATGAGAGGGTATTGAATAAAATGAAAAGTAATAGTTTAAATTACATTTTCTGCCTTCACAATTAGAGAATGACCAAATTCAAAAGTAAGGTGTTTTAGTAAAGAAAAAGTTCACAAAGCACATCTATTTAATATGTAATAAATATAGGATTTAATGAGAGAGGATGAGAATTAATACCTTAAATATAGAACTTAATAAGAGGGAATGAAATGAATTTAATATAAGTAGTAATTTATTCAAACTATGTTTTTTCCCTTATAATAAAGAGGGACCAAATTCAACAATAAGAGAGTCAAGAATTCCAAAATCTAGACCTTATTCACACTTTTAGTAGTAGTATAGACAATTACTCAAAAATAATTTGATAGGAATGACCACTTTATCTCTATGCCTAATTAGTCTTTATAAGATCCCATAATCGGTAAGTTGTTCTCAAGGATGGCCTTGTGAGTCCTTCAGTATGAGAACATAGCCTTCAATGTTCAAGAATAATGTAGCCTTCCACACTGCTTGCTGAGCTGGCAAAGTTCCTAGGCGGAGGAGAATTATTGTCATTACTGATTTTTCAGGTTAAATGGGTTAAATCATGACATCATAATTACACAATACAAATTAAAAAACAAAAGATAGAAACGGAAAAAAAATTATGATAAGTATAAATATTTTGTAGAAAACATTTGGGTACATCTCAAATAACATATATTCATCATATTAAATAAAAAAATGTGGTAAATAAGTATTGTTTTTGTTAATGTTGAAAATGGACTACAAAGTTTGAAACCAAAATTAGAAAGAGAACTGCTTTTCCACCTAGGTAACCGGTCAGTGGTTCAACTATTTGGGCCAAATGGATCAATCCATGATGTCATAATTAAAAAATAAAAATTAAAAAGTAGATTAAAATATACAAAAAACATATAAAATTTTAAAACTATCCAAAAAAAATCATTTTTTCATCTATGTCAAATAGGTCAATCTATGATATCATAATTAAATAATAAAAATAAAAGGTATATAAAATACAGAAAATTTGTAAGAAACTAGGCATTTGTTAATATCATACATTCATCGTATTAAACAAGAATAAATATAATAAGTAAGAAGTACTTTGCTAATACTGTAAATACAAGAAAAATTGTAAAAAACTAGGCATATTGTTAATATTATATATTCATCATATTAAAGAAGAGTAAGAGGTATTTTATTAATACTGTAACTGCAATACAAAATTTAAAACAACCTGAAAATGAAACCAGTTTCCTATCCAAGTTGTGAACCAACAGTTCAACTGTCCAGGTCAGATGGGGCAACTCATGATATCATAATTAAATAATAAAAATTAAAAAAAAAGATAAAATACAATAACATATAAAAATATAGAAATTTATTAAAAAAGTACACGCATTTCTGATATTATATATTCATTATATTAAAAAAAATTATAATAAACAAGAATTATTTTTATTAATGATGAAAACAATATGTAAAATTTAAAATCAATCTCAAAAGAAAGTGATTTTTCTATTTAGATGGTCTGTCAGCAAATTTTGCAACCCATCGTTGACCCCACTCAAATGGAACCCATAACCTGGAGGTCCTGGACAAGAAAGCAGGTCCGTTTCACCAATTCACCCTAAACCCGGTAATTTGAAAGGAAAAAAAAAAAAAAAAATCATTGACTCGGGTCCAGAACCGTCAACTCAGAAGGTCAAACTGGTGAACCATTAGAATTGCCCATTGTCTCTGGAGCTGACTAGACAGAAAAAAATTGAGCTTTTTCTTGATTTTATTTGATGCCAAGAATGCTTTGAACAATTTATCTTTTAGTTCTCCTTCCCTTTCGTGAGATGCTTCTAGTTGGGTGGATGTTATTAAGACTTTAACACTTCTTTTTTGTGTTAAGTTTAATTTTATTCCTAAGACTCTTAATATAGGGCTGCCCACTATTTAGCTCGGTTAGCTAAAACTTCTGCTGATACTTTTGTTTGTTGGGACAGCCCATCCGCTTGTATAGAACCCTTTGTTGCTTCTTTTTTGTTAGCATTTTCCTCTTTTAAAAATACCAACACTATTGAACTTGAAAGAGCACTAATTGAGCTGGATCCTGGGCATTCGCCCATTGCAATTCCTTAAAGAACTATACAATTAACGTTTGGACCTAACCAAACAAAGTTTAACGAACTACTGGGGCTGACACTAAAAATGGGATATTACCCAACTGGCAGAATTTGGAGCTATACTGGAAGCAGCTCTTCTTTTTGCTCGATCTAGAAATTGGCGCGACTTAATTATGTTGTCAGATGCTGTTGTTGAAGGCTGTAATAGACTTGCATCCTCCATCTCTGGACCTTTTTGCATTACTTGATCAAAGCTTAGTAGTTTTAATTCTGTAAAGTTTTTGTACAAACCTCGTTTTGGACTTTAAGGGCTCACACTGTTGCTCAGAAGGCAAAGTTTTTTGACGAAAAGGTTTATCTGGTGGGAGTCTGCCCCAAATTAGCTGGAACCGCATGTCAGCCCACAAGATTTGATGCACAAACAAATCTTTTGTACCGTTGAACTAGAATTAGGATTTGCTACATAAAGACGACACCCGAAGGGATTTAGGTAATACAAAACTCAGGCGACTCGGACAGAAAAAATTAAGTAACAGTGATATTAGAATGTGTTATGGTACTACATGTTCAGCCATTTCTTATGCTCAATGAAAATGTGATAAATGCAAGCAAGCATCAAAGATAAAAGATGATATTGGATTTTGGGTTCAACCAAAGACCTTGAGTGTGACAGTTTATATAAGACAAGCCAATATTGTATCTTAATACTGACATGCGGTTAAAGAACCAAACATTAACAGGCTGCAGCTAAAAAAAAAAAATAGACTTCTCAAAGCCAATCATTTGAAGATAAGAAAGGATCTACCATTCGCAAGTAGACAAGGATGATGGGAGGCAATTGCTTGAAACCAGAATCATCTCCATCCTCTTATCCATGATCTGCACTATAATGTTTGCCTCACTTCTTAGACTTGGACACTTTAAATATGTTCTCCTTGTAATATTTGAGCTCCTTAATGCTTTCTTTGATATCATCCATGGCTCTATGCTTGCTTTCCTTGGAAGGAGCTTTTTTTTTATCCCTTGGGTACCAGCGGATGCATAAAGCTTTTATACTGCTAACATCAACAAGTACATGAGAGAATATACTAGCCAACTCTGGCATATACTTCTTCAAAAACATAAGATCCACATAAACTGAATTTCCAGCTATATGAGGTTTATATGTGCCAATATGTTGTTTCACAAAATTTATAACCTGCATTTCAGCTTCTCGCTCACTGAGTGTACTCTGAAGAACTTTCTCTGTCAACCCACTTGCTGCATGATGATGTTGACACCATTCTCCCATATTCTCCAAACACTCCTTACTCTGATGGATAACCAAATCAGGACCCTCCACAGATTTAATCAAATTTCCATCTGTGATCACACAAGCAATCTCCAGGATTCTATCTACTTTTACATCTAAACCAGTCATTTCCAAGTCAATCCACACAAGCGGCATCTTGTACTCTTCTGAAGCCCCTGGTCCTTGCTGATCCCAATTACTATTTTTTACTTGTTGCACATCTCCTGAACTGGTTCTTGTGTTCTTACCCTTGTCTATTCTTGAAGCACTTTCTCCACCTTTTACAGCAGAAGCAAGGTCCGTCTCCTCTTTATCATCTTCAACATCCAATGCAAGCACAGAAAAAGCATTTAATAGACTGTTCTTCATTATTTTACACAACTTGTCTATGACAGTGGACATAAGATGTGAACCCCTTCCCTCTTCACTTTTGGATCCTTTGGCTCCAACTCTAATACAGTTGAACTCCCTCTGATTTCACTTCCCAATGAAACGACCTTGTGCTTCCTTTATCTATAAAACTAGGAGAAAGAGAGAGAAAACAAAGACCAGCATAAAGCCCATTTGGGGAACCCAAGAAAAAGTTTTAGGATACAGAGCTCACTTAGAGGCACACATCAACCCTGCCAGAACAAACTGGTAGTTGGTTCCCAATAGGCAAATAGAAACCACTTGATGAGCTTAATAATTAAGAGCCAGTACCTGCAGGAAGATGGTGGGTGAGCTTCTAGATAAGGCAAACTACACATGAACATTGTATAGTATTCTAATTAGACATGAACAGTGCTGTAACAGTGAGAGTCCTACCATTAGATAGATTCAAATAAATAAAAGGGATGATGGTTGCTCACACATTAGGTGATTGTAATTAATCATTGAGTGTGTTTGGTTTTCTGGGGTGTTTTTTGACTTAGATTTGGAAGGACGGTGGTTTACTAATGGTTTTTGTCCCAACTCCTGAGCTCTTCTTGGTAAGGTTTTATGGTTAGAGTTGAGAGTTTTGCAGTGTGTTGTATTGGTAACATGTTATTGTGATGTGGGGTATCATTTATTTGAGTTCATATCAGTGATGCCATAACCTGAGATTGTATCTTTTCTTTCTCTTCTATTATTTGATAAATTCTTTCTCTTCTATTTTCTTTTCATATATCTTTATTTACTATCAAAAAATACATCAGGCAATGAAACAAATTCAGATGAAACCCAATCTGACTATTTTTTCTGGGTATCCTTCCTGTGTATATATTTTTCGGGTGGGGAAGCAAGTTACAATAATTTTCTGTTCCTTGCACCAAGATTGTAGTGTCTTCTTTTTTTTTTTTGACCAGTAACACTAGTAACGTTAGGTATTATAGTGTTTTTAAGGGTCTTCCATACAAGCACGGAATATACAATCAAGGCCCTCCAAATCAGTTCTGCTCAACTAGGAAAATATGAACCGGGGTCTGCCTAGAAACACTTTTCACAGAGATCAACACCCCCACCAACCCAAAGCACCCTTCACCAGAGCTTCTTCCTGCACCCTTTATTCTCAAAGATACATCTAATTTCTCTCTGTCCACACCATCTAGATCATTGCCATTGAGAGCATTGCCCATGCAAGCTTACCTTACCAATTCAAACCCTTTATTCACCAAGCTTCTAAGAACTCCTTAACAATCCTCAGAAAAAGACCAGCTTATGTTTAGAACTGAGGAAAAAAAAGGCAAAATGGCATGTATAGTGCGGCAATGCAAAAAGATGTAATTGGTTTCTCTCCTAGTGATTTTTCTCTTTGTATGGATGCAGGTGGAACTTGCCAACAAAGGTGAATAGGTTATTTGATCTGACCATGTTTGTTTGGCCTAAGAGAAGGAGAAGAATTGTGGAGATGTACAAGGGCTGCATTGATTTGGACTATTTGGGAAGAAATGAATGCAAGATCTTTCTAGAGAAGGAGAGAAGCAGGGAAGTAGTGAAGGAATATGTGAAGACTAGAGTGGCATACTGGATTAAAACACTGGGTATCTTTTCACAATTCTCTTTTGATGATATATGGAGGAACTGGGGTGAGGTGGAAATGCTCCTCTAAAAAGATGGCATCCTCAATTTGGGTACCACCTCCCAAGGAATACATCAAGCTGAATTTTGATGGGAGCAGTCAAGGTAACCCAGTGTTTTAAAAGCGCAAGGCGCAAAAAAGGCGCAAGGGCCATTTTGTGCCTGAGGCGCAAGGTGCAAGGCGAGGCGCGTGCCTTTTTGAGGCGAGGCGCGTGCCTTTTTGAGGCGAGGCGCGTGCCTTTTTGAGGCAAGGCGCACAATTTTAGAAAAATGAAAAAATTCGAAAAAAATGCAAAAAATTCAAAAAAAATGCAAAAAAATAAAAAAAAAATCAAAAAATTATAAAACATGCCCCTGGCCCAATGACCAGACTCAAAAAAAGGGAAAAAGCGGCAAATTTTCAAAAGGCGCACGCCTGGGCTAAGGCGTAAGGCACACCAGGCGCACGCCTAGGTGCACCAGGCATGCACCTTTTGAATAGGCTGCGCCTAGGACCTGGGCGAGGCGCCTACCCTAAAATGCGCCTCGCCTGAGCACCTAGGCGCGCCCTTTTAAATCACTGCCCTAGACAAGGAGACAATCGGATGTAAATGGGTATTCACAGTGAAGTATAGGACTAATGGCAAGATAGAGAGGTACAAGGCAAGGTTGGTAGCAAAAGGTTATACTCAGACCTACGTTGTTGATTATCTAGAAACCTTTGCACCAGTAGCTAAGATGAGTCCAGTTCGTATCCTTTTATCTCTAACAGCCACCTATTCATGGCCTTTGTTCTAGCTTGATGTCAAAAATGCCTTCCTCAATGGTGATTGACAGGAGGAGGTATATATGGACATGCTAGCAGGTTTTTATGAAAATGTTGGTAAGGGAAAGGTGTGCAGACTCAGAAAATCTCTGTATGGACTGAAACAGTCACCTAGGGCTTGGTTTGACAAGTTCAGAGGGGCACTCATCCGTTTTGGATACACACAGACACAGTCTGATCACACTCTCTTTGTGAAGAGGAGAGATGCTCTGGTGTCAATTCTGATTGTGTATGTAGATGATATAGTGGTGACAGGAAATAATTTGGAGATTGATGATCTCAAAAAATCAGCCAACAAACCCTATTTCTCCACCTCACTTTACAACTAGATTCTCTTATGCCTTTCCATGGCCACCATCCCTACCAATAACTCTTCCCAACAAGAATTCACTCCCTCTCCAAACAGTGCCCCCACTAATGAAATCCATCTATGCCATCACAGCTGTCACCAGTGTTTTTCTTTCCAACAACACATCACTGCCGTCACCGGTCATTTTTTTATAATAAAAAGAAAATTCAATCAAAAAAAGAAAGAATACAAAGGAAGGTGACATGTTATCACCTGAGAGAAAAGGACAGACACAAACAACCATCAAACACCCTACAACTGCAGTCACTGATCATTAAAACATATTTCTAGAAGCATGTCCCCTAATCCAACTAAGAAAACAAAATTTATTGAAGATTGGAAAACCAAGTCCTAGTGCAATTCTTTTAATCATCACCAAGTCCTAGTGCAATTGGAAAACTACTAATGGCTCAATAAAAGAAAGTTCTTCTGAAAAATTAAAGAAACGCCCCTACAACTACAAAACGCAATTCTTGATGTACGTTTTCAGCTCTTAATCTCTAACATCCAGACTCTAGACAGCAAGCATAGTTGTCAAGGTGTCGCCTAGACGCCCTTCTAGGTGACTAGGCGCCCTTCTAGGTGATTAAGCGCCCACCTAGGCAACAAAAATGACAAGGCAGGCGCCTTTTATAATATCATTTATATTGATGTATCTTATTAATGTATGTGTTAATACATTTTATTATATGCTATATATATCAATTATATTTTGTTTTAATGTTTTACTATTGAAATTTAAAAGA